GGCTCTCAGACCCTCCACTTAGATAAAGTGGAGATCTCCATGAAAGTGCTGATGGTACTTTTTACAAGAGAAATGTCTCTCATCAAGGATGAGGCCACTCATTGATGCTGGAAAGATTAGATAACTTGGTGATCCAAATATTAGCTTTACAGGTGAGGAAGGATTGAAGAGACGTGTCAGAGAGTCAGGGCACCAACAATAATGGTGACTAGGACAGCACCATGATGAGGACTTAGAGATACCAGATACTTACGTTAACAGTCTGCAGAACAAAAGGGAGACTAGGAAAGTAGCTTCTGTTAAAGTAAATGTAAGCTCTTCCTTTTCTAGCCAATCTCTGCCAAACCACCAAATCTCATTAGTCCTAAAATAAAAGGCCTAAATCATAGAACAATAGAAATTTTCAGCTCATCGCAAAACTTCAAAGTTTGATGGGACTGATTCACTGATTTTGCAACTTAACACACCATTTTTTCCAGTTCATAGGGGAGGATGGCCAAATGGTCATTTAGGAACTATCACGACAGTTTCTGTCAATTAGTAAGGGACTCAATGATTTAAGACTCTTCCCAGTCTCTGAGCTTTACCTACTTGCAGCAAGCAGACTGATTTCCAGGTATTTGCAATAACCTGTGTCACATTTACTGCTGAACAGCTCAAGCTTCACTGACTTCCCTGATCCCTGGCGCTCCTCTGCAACTTTCAACCACCTCCCAAGACATTCCTTTCATACCAAAAGAAATTACGGTATTTCTTCCATTGGGAGGATTATTAACGTCCATTAAACTCTCCTGCACTCCCAATCACTGAATGTCTTGCTTTGCTTCTCCCTCCTCTCTCCCCAGTCTTTTCTCAAAACTACCAGCTTCCTATTAAATAAAATCCCTCCTCCCAAACATAGCTTTAGTTTCCTCACTATCCACCCTCAAGAAAACTATAATTTTAACATTTACTGTTTTAAATGCTTTGTATAATCTTGCAGAAGTTTTACGCGAAGGACGTATTTATCCTGAAAGAGCTCAGAACCAAATCATTTTGCTCTAAAACAGAGGTATTGGGAGCTGTTATTTGTGAGCTCATAGGAGCTTTCTACATTTAAAGGATGGCAGATCCTGGGATGGTCTAGCATTTTATTCTGTATCTATCTACGTATACACACACATATACATGCACATATTATATATATATACATATAAACAGACCATCCCATTCCACCCAGGGAGGAGGACAACCTATATCAAATTTTACAGTGTTACACTGGTATCATAAATCGAGCAAATACAACCTTAAAATGTCCAGGCAAGTCAGGAGAGGTAGTCTGGTGAATGCTGTGAGGTGAGCCTGGAAGAACGATGAATCTCACAGTTGCAGAAGGTGAGCTTCATTACTCCCCAGGGCAAACTTTGAAAAGGTCTCGTCTGTACCTTTCCAATCCGGACAGCTGAAGTACAAGTCTTAAAATTAAAGTATTCTCTCAAAATATTCTCACTCTGCAGCTATGATTCAAGAATGAATGGAGCGTGAGTTTACCAAAAAGCTAAAATAACTCCTTAACTGGGGAATACAATATCCTTGCAGAATGGGTAAGTCAGTGTCAAGTGTCAAGCCCAGGACTTCATACTAAGCAAAATACAATTTGGATTTTTGGTAGTGCAAGCTCAGTCTTTTACACAAGAAACGTGAGCTAACCTTAAGTAATCAATCCCGATAGGTAAGAGAGATATGCCTAGTTCATCTAAGCAGAAAGCCCCAAGGTTATAAAAATCTCCCTCAATTCCAGCTCATCACTAAACAACATGGTAAGGAACATGTTTTTTGACAGAGCCTCAAGCTGTTACACAAAAATATTTAAAGATGCAGAGTTTTATAGTGAAAAATATCCATACAGTATTTTTCTTCTCTAACTCTGGAGAGCTGCCTATTCTGCAAGACAAGTAGAGGAAAAAATATGGAGAGAGAAAAAAAATAATAATTAAAAAAAAAAAAAGAAGAAAAGAGGTGCAGGGGGCAGGGGGAAGAGATAGTGGGAGAGAAATGCCTTGTAACTCTACCAGGAAGGCAATTACAAGCAAATCACAATTGATTTTCTATGTGCTAACTGGAAATGACTACAGTTTGAGACCAGGGGGTAAGAAAAATGACTCTGCTGCTTGTTACACTGTCTCACCTCTGCTTTTGTTATATTCTATCTTTAACATATAATTTATTAACTAAAATGAAGTAAGCATCAATTCTTCCAAGCATAAAATACAGGCTTGTTCAATTAATGGGTTTCTTAGTTCAAACATATGGTAGAAGTAGTACATTTACTGTAAATATTTAGCAAGCTTGAAGACAGGAGGCATTTTAAGCATAACTATACATAATAAGAGATATAAAGCATCACTATACAGTAACTTCAGTCTGAAGACAGAAACATTTCAGTCTCTTCATAGAAACAACTCATTGCAGTCCTTGTACAACATCTGTTTCTTACGGTACCTCAGATATAGTTTCCAGTACAACAAAAAAAACAAAGTGTAACCACCTTAATCACTAATAAGGCCACTGGCTAGCTGCCATGGCAACAAACACTACGGAAATGAGTGAATGATGAAATCTCTCCTGAATAACTTAAAAAACCCCTTATCCATGACTTCCTAGCTACATGTGGGACACTGCTTCACAGAACAGCAAAAGCAGCAGAATAGTATTTACAGAACAGGAAAAAGAGGAGTTTTACACCATAACCTTACACATTGCACATTTTCCAACCTTCCTCTTAGCTACTACAACCCCTCCCCCCGTTCTTAGTACTGTCACTCTCTTTCAAGCATTTCAGTTTTAAAAAATTATTTAAAACACAGACTATGAAAAGATCAATGACTGGATGCTGAGGCTAGCAAAACTCAGATTAGGATCTGATTTAAGTAAAAAATAAAGTGCAACCAGTGAAAAAAACTACACAGGCTTTAAGCGTTCAAGGCCAGATTCTTTTTTTTTTTTTTTTTTAATTACTGGTTTAAGCCAGAAGTCATGGATCTGATGTAGAAAATATCAAACAAGATTTCATGACTTCTGTAATAAAAGAAATAAAACTAAATCACACATCTCATTTCTACTGAACACAGAGTTGCTTAGCCATAGCCATTTCTGAGTACAACAAAAACTGACCTGAGCCAACCAAGTTCCTCGTTTTACTTCATGCTGACTCTGAAATGTCTTCTTCCAGCTCACTTAAACTGCATGTAGGATATATAAGATCTCATAGAATAAAAGTTCATAAGATTTTCAATTTACCTATGTAAAATTGAACAGTAAATAGGTTTCATCAAATATTGAACTGAATCTCCAATCTTTTCAAGTCTCATCAACTGAAAGCCTAGTTTTCTTCAAAAAAATAAACAGCTCTGGAACACCAATAATGTTTTTAAAGGTTGGTACAACCCAGAGAAGCAGGCAGTGAAATCACTCCAAGCGGACTGTTGCTCAGCTCAGCAGTCAGCCTGAAATGCACAATCTACACGGATGAGTCAAGTCTGGATAATCCCTTCATGCTCTGTCAGGTTGAGAGTATGGGGTTTGTTTTTAAATTGCATACCTTCAAAAAACTCCACTTCTCTTTGCATTTACATTGTAAGATGACATTTTTTAAAGCATGTTTTGATTTGCAGATGCCTAAAAATAGTTAGTGGAGCTCTATCAGGACCTCATAAATAATAACTGCCTTTTTAAAAGGATCACAAATGTCAATGGTAATTCTGAGATCCCCTGAGTGACTACTGCCCTATGGAAGTCTAGTGCAGTAATAAAGGTGTAATAACCATGTTGAGCTAAACCGTAAATGTTGGTTTGTGGAGAGAGGAATTGGTTCAACTGCCATCATTAGGGAAAAAAAAAAAAAAAAAAAGTTTTTCTCAAGACTAACTGGTTTAATTAATAAAAAAGAAAGGGGGGGGGGGGGAAGAGAAAACACAAAAACATTTCCCTAAAATAGCTACAAATGTGCTTTATACAAATTCTCTTTACAATGATAACATGCTCGAATTTTGGTTCATTCACTACAGTACACTCTGTTGAAGTATAATCTCACGCTGGAGCATCACCAGATAGAAAATTTAGTTAATTAAGATTTATCTAACACAATACTGGAAGAAGGGTTACCATGAATTCACTGGCTTACTATATGGGCAAATGCTAAGTGGTAAGGAGACGGTGGAAGAGGAAGTACCCTGACACTTTGAAAACCCAGACATACTTGAATGGTTTATTTTCTTTCCAGATCAAAAGACTGTGCTACTGCTATCTTAAGTATGTTGTTAATTGCATAACCCTAAGAGGTGCAGTTATGAATTATGCCTCTGCTTTGCAAACACAGACCAAGAGGCCAAGACACAGTAAACAAGACATTTCAATACATCTGCTGTTAAAGGAGCGTGGTCTCTCTTCGTCAGGATGGGTTTACTTGACCCAACTTTCAGCAGCACCATCGTATAAGGTCTTTTTTGGCCCTGTCAAAGTTACCAAACCAGAGGCAGGCACGGGAAGTGCCAGACAGGACCAGGACCAGCTGCAGAAGGTGCTGTACAAACACAGCCCAGCAGAGTTTCCTCCCCCGGGGGCATTACAAAATAACGTCACCGCTCCACAAATACAACCGTACATGCCCGGCGTTACTCAGACACGCCTGTAGAATTAGGTCCAAAACACGCAGGTGAATGAGAATTAATTTTTTAAGAGAAATTGAAACTTAAAAGCCACAGCTAGATCTGATAATGGTGCAGCCAATGCTGTTAGAGGTTTCTGCCTATTACAGTTTGGTTAAAGACAACTTAGGCAACCGGTTCTCTCACCCGAAGTGCCGAGAGTATGTCTCCACTGTTCTCACAGAATTATTAAAAAACCCCACCAAAACAAAACAAACCAAACCCAACCAAGCCTCCACTCCCCGCCCCCCACCATAAAAAAAAAAAAAAAAAAAAAAAGTTACAAGCTGGGGAAGGGCAGGGTAGGTAGGGTACCTGAAATAACTTTTAAAATCCTTCTCGGACGCCCGGTACTCGCGGGTACGTGCGTGCCCCGGGACAGCTGCGGCTCCGGGACAAACAGCCGCGGGACCAGCCCCCGGGGCCAGCCCGGCGCTGCGGGGAGGCACGGCCGCTCCCGCCGCGGTCGGCGACGGCCAGGTCGAGGAAAACTTTCCGGAGGGTCGGGGCCCGCCGAGGGGCCGGCCGCGGGGCCTGGCCGAGGCGCGGGGCGGCCGGCGCCGGCCCCCCGGGGTGACGGGGCGGCCGAACGGGGCTGTCTCCTACCTCCCGGGGAAGCAGCGAGCGGCGGCGGCGGCTCCTCCCCGCCGCGCCTCGGCCTCCGCCGCCCGGCCGAGCTCCGCCGGGCGACCTCGGGGAGGCGCCGGGGGCAGGGCCGGCACCGCGGCCCCGTGTTGACACACGCGCCGGCTCGGCCCCGGCAATGGGCGGCGCCGGGGCGGGAGCGGGGAGCGGGGCAGCCGCCGCCGGCCGCGGCACTCCCCTCGCCGCCATGCCGGGGGCAGCCGCGCAACCCCGCCCCGCCCGGGTCTCCCGTGGCCCCGCAGCCACCCACCTGCAGCCTGCCGGCATCCGCACGCCGTGAGGAGGCCGGCCCGCCCCGCCGCTGCGGGCGGGAGGAGCGGCAGCAAGGTCGCCTTCACCTCCCCCGCCGCCGCCCGCCTCATGCCCGCGGCGCTGCGAGCGGCGCTCCGCGGGGGCCTGCCCGCACCGCACCGCCGGCCGCCCCCGCCGCGCCGGGCCGGGCCGCGCCGCGCCGGGCAGCACCTGCTGCTGCCGGGGCGCGACAAAACCGCCCGGGAACCGCCCGCCCCGGCGCTCGGCACCGCGCGGTGAGGGCCCGGCCTTCGCAGCGGCCTTCGGGGGTTGGCGGCTGAGGGACGCGGGTCACCCGCCGTGCCGTGGATTCCTGCCGCGGGGGTGGGGGGGGGAAGCCGCCGGAGTAACACCCTCCCGAAATACCGAACGTAACCGGCTGGGGCTGGGAGGCACCGCGCTGAGGCGGTTTGGGCAGCGGGTCCTGCCGGCCTGGGAAAGGTCGTGCTGCCATCTGAGGAAATGTCCGGGTGCTGATGGACGTTCACTGCTCCAGCCTGCCCGCGCCTTACTGCCCGTGGCTTCGCAGGTGGAGAAAGGGAGGTGGGAGAGCTTTCTGCCAAGGACAACCAACTCGGTCTGTGGCGGAGTTGGTAGAAGCCTTAATTTCCGTCCCGTGTTCTAATTATGAGATGTTTCCTCCCACCCCGCAGTTACTTTTATGCAGATTAAATAATCTACCTCTCACCTTCCCACCCAGCCTTCTGTGCTCCTGCCGAGGCGGCTGAGCGCCGGGAGGCTGCTTAGGAGATATGAATGAAACTCCGGCGTTGTGATTACGGCTGGCGAGCTGACTGGGCGTATCACATGCAGGGTAGAACATTCAGCTACTGCTACTCACAGACTGGAAGTCTCTCTCTATATATAGTTGTTATTTGCTCCTATTCTACTATCGAAGCTTACTAGAAATTCTTCTGGTATCCAGCAGAAATGGGCTATATTTTTTTTTTTTTATTTTCCATCTAATCAACGCAAATCCTACACAGAAGTATGAGCCCGAAGGGCCACTTTGTAGGGTTTATTTTTCCAATAAAACATGATAGATTTGCCTGGACAAAAGATTGTAGTGGAACAGGACTATGTTTCTTTCCTGTATACGTTTCAATAAACCCTCCTGCTTAGAGCTGATACTGGCTGTAAGAGCAATGGCATGATTTTGTCCAACTAATTCAGTACAAGGTCTGTTGAATTTCTTGGTGTATCTCATCCCCATCCTTAGGCACGAGTTTGAAGGGTTCAGCTAATGGTGCAAGAGGCTGGCTCTCTCCTCTTGGTAGTTACTTAGCTGTGCAGAAGGAGTTTGAGACCTTTCCAAAAAAAAAAAAAAGCTTGTTCTCTCAGTCCTAGACATGATGATGCTGTTTCAGAGTCATAGTGGTGTCCAAATGCAACTATGAATATTAATATAATGGAGGAAATCGGTGAAAACAAGACTCGAGTTAGACACTTGCAGTGCTACTTTGCTGCTTATCATGGAAGCCTTTGCTGGTGATTGAGGAACATATGAGTCAGTTAAAAGCACTGCAGTGCTGGAGAAAATTATTCTCGATTATCAGAATAAGAGAGAACAGAATAATATGGAGTGGAATTGATTTTGAAACTACAAGTCACGAGAGAGTTTATTAACTTTTTTTTTCCTTAGTATACTCTAGTTCCTGCTGAGTTTGTCTGAAATACCTGTTTGACCTCATCTCTTTAGAAGAGATTGCGATTCTGTAAACCTACTGTACCTTTGTAATTGATTAAAATGTGCTAGTTATAAGCATGAGTTAACTCTGCTCAAATGTGAGGTTTACTCAAAATGAAGTGAGCTGCTTGATGTCACTGCATTGCTCATTGGTAAAAACTCATTTCTTCTCTGTTGCCTCAGGAAACAAGTTGCTTCCCGATTAAAACAGATGTTTGGGAGTCAGAATCCAGGATTTTTCTGTTCCATGACCACAAACCTCAAATACAGCAGTAGTGCCTTGGAAGGAGAGGGTTGTAAGTTTTAAAAGACTTTCACTGTGTAGGACAGTCACAGGGGCTAGGGATTCATACGCCTCCAGAACTTCCCACATCTCTCTTCTGGATTTAGTTCCCCATTGTATGTCCACGGTCTATCCCATATCATTGTTCCTCAGGTTTTGCCGAAACTCAGGATTTCCGTGGCTTCTCTCGGACTTTCACACATTGCAAAACACTTTCCTGGTCAGCAATTGTAGCAAAAAGTTGTCGTCAATAAATGAGAACACACTCATGGGATTAATCAGTACTTAAAAGCAAGAGAGGGAAAATGTTCCTATTCTGGAACAAGAACCTCTTCATTTCCAGAATCTCTATTTGCATAAATACAATGTAACAATACAGAATAGCAAAAGTTTATACACAATACTTTTTCTATAAAATTGGCTTCCTATACGTGTTAACTTGAATTTCCTTTACTTTTTATGAATCTCTGTCAAGTCAGACTTGCTTTAGCAGCTTTACATCAGTTACCTCTTTTTTTTTTTTTTAATTAAAAACCTCACACATTCATATTTTCAAGATTTCTTTACCTTTTCAATTATGTTGTTCATTTAATCTGCTATTTCTACTCTCCCCTTACGAGCTACAACTGTTTTCCATGACTTGAATATTTTCTGCCTGTGACATAGAGAATGTCTCTTTTATTCCTACAGTTGTCCAATGATCTGGCCAGCTCCTGTAATTGAACCTACTCCTCATCCTCTTCACCTGGAAAACCTGCATTTTGTTCTTCCATCCACAACAATCCGCTTTTCAAGTAACCTCTGCCCAAAACTCTCTTGATCCATCTTGTTCTTGAAATGATCATATATGCCAGAGCAAATAATTGATTTCAGTAGAATATCATCACTATTAGTGCCTGTTGCTTTTGTGTTTTTAAATAGCTGGTACTTTACTTAAAGATCCTAAACATTAACTCTACTTCTTGCTGGCTTTCTGCTTCAGTTGTCTGAGTACCTTTTGCAGATTGACCCTCATCCTTTTCTTCCACTTAGCCACAGTTATGGTCCCTGGTTCCAAACTGACATCCTCAAAATATCTAGATGATTTGTCAGCTCTTCATTTAGCTTTCACCTGGCATTATTTTCCCTTCCCAGTCACCATATTTTGTCAGGTTACTTTTCCATCTCAGAATCTTGTGCTGCTTCTACCATCATTTGCGTAGAAAAGCCTACAGGCTTTATATGACAAAGCTGCTACGACAGTGTAAATTTTGTTAATTTATGTTACCACAGCAACTGAGTCATGTGAAAATGTAATGTTACATTGTTTGGTATTCTGATAAAAAACTAGAGAGATGTAGTCTGTGTAGAGCTACTATGGAGCTGGGGCTTAACTAGGTAGATAACTATGCCTACAGATTAGGTATCAATGGCAGGTGTCAAAATAGGTTTACCAGGTAGGATCCTCTAGGAATTTAAATCCAGTTCTGTTCAGTTCTGGGACAAATGGCAGGCATGTTGGAGGAGAGGATTAGGATCTTGACAAATACAAAAACGGACTAGAAAACATAAGGCCCAGGTTGGGGGGACAAAATTGAGCTGCTGAGCCTAGACAGGTATAAAAAATTGCACAAATCCAGGAAAAGGAGTAACTGTTGAAAAAGTGATCTTCCAGAAAGGAATCTGAAATCTACTGTAAGTCACAAGGCAAACATGAGTCAGCAATGTGTTTTCATGGTAGAAATAGTAAATGTCCCAGGAAGATGTGTGTGTGGGAAGCAACATGTGGTCTCTATGCCGTATAGGTAGGACATCAGGAGCCAGGGCAGGTGGCAAAAAGAATGAACAGAGGTCTGGGAAGACTAAAGGAGCTGGAGTTGTTTGGGCTAAAGAAAAGAAAGCAGAAGAAAGACATGCTAAGAGTCTTCATATACTTAAAAGGCCATTGCAAAGAGAAGGGGAATAATCTATTCTTGATAGGTAGGGTAAGATGTAATGGACTTAAATTGCATCAAGGAGGAAAAGCTTTTTTAATGGTAGCATTAGTGTGGCACAGCTTTATATTACAGAGGGTGTAATAGTGTCTCCATTGCTGGATGTCTTTAAGTACGTACTGGACAAAGAGCAAGTACTATTGATCTGGCATTGGAACTGGAGGATGGACTAGGTGGCTAATCAAGGTCCATTCCGGACCTATTTTTCTGTGATTATATATAATCTGAGGCTTCTCATTAATCACCATTCCTTTATCCAGTCCCATTGTACATTCTGTTTTCTTTTCAAGTAGGATCCCTAGTCATTCTTGTATTCTTTGGCAGACAAAAAATGTTTTGTTCCATTTTCATATGAGTGTAGTTGAGGACCAAAGCTTTTCTCGTTTTGCTGGCAGCTTGCAATGGACACAGGCTGGCGAGTTGTACTGCACTGAGCTGCTGAGATAACTATGATAATTTCATGTGAGTCAAACATGCAATAAAAATTATTTAGATGACTGTTGTTGGTCTATTCAAACACATTCTGCATAAACCCTACATAATGTTAACATAAATTTGAGATTCTTTAGACATATACTAGATAAAATTACTCAGTTCATAAAATGTTACTGCATTCCAGACCTACCTAATGCACACAATCCTAAATTCTCCGATCTTCACTGCGAGGAACCCATAGAAGTTTTTACTGCGAACTGCACTATGTTAATTATTTTCCAGACGTGACTTGGTTTTGCAAAGTCTTGTATATTTTCAAAAAATACAGTTTAACATTCAATTCTACATTTCAATTTAAAATAAATAGCTTATACCAAGAACAA